CCTCAGATACACCCAATATCTCAGCAACCCGCTTGCGTAATGGTAGCTTCTGAAGGCTTTCCCTTATAGATTTATCCTCTTTAAAGTAATTGTGAATATTAATTATCATCAATTTTTCGTTATCTGTCAGTGGTGTTAGAGGTGCTATCCGTTCATTCAAAATCTGGTCATCTGATCAAAATTCGGATTAAATTACAGTACGGATATGATTATTTTTGATCAAATAATATACAGATTTAAAAACTTTAAACAGATTTTTACCAAATTATCTGTATAATCCGTTGATCTGATGAATAGTAATATATATACTGTAATACTGACTGTACCATATATGTTGTATAAAAATTTCCTGAAATGTAAATTTAATTGTAATTAGTTACTATATGAAGAATATAGAATAAATGCAGAATTCTTTCATGTTATGTTGTTAAATGCGTTGAACTAATAAAACAATGGTTAATGAAGTAGAACAACCTCATAATAATAATAGTAATACTGAACTAGAGCAACTAAACCATAAAAAGGTTAAGCTAAATGAAACCTGTGGAGGAAGTAAAGTTAGAAGTTGGATCTGAAAATACTTTGAACCTGGTTTTAAAAAGGAAGTAAGGTATGCAGTTTGTCAAGTAGAAGTAATAGTTGGAAAGAAATGTGAAAAAACCTATAAGGTTGGTACATCCACTAGTAATTGCTTTGAACATCTTGCAAATATTCATGGGATAACTAAGGAGCAAGAGGAAGCTAATGTTGTAAGTGTATTTTCAATAATTAACGTTAATTAATTTTATAAATATAATAATTAAAAAGTTTTTTTTTTTAAAAAAAAGGATGCAAATCGAAATCAGAACATTGTAAAAGCATTTTCCAAAAAAACTCATCATCAAGAATCGCGTCAGCTTGAATTATGTTAGTATCTTGCAGATTGGATTATATGTAGCTCTCAGCCACTTATTGTTATTTTAAATCTAGCATTTAAAAGATTAATTTCTCAATTGGATTTAAGATTTCAAATTCCAAATCCAAAATATATGAAAAAGCTTATTCATCATGCATATAATTATTCGTTGCCATTAATCATAAAAAGATTAGAAAAGGATGCTAATTTAGTATCCTTAATTTGTGATCTTTAGACAGGAAGAAATCGCCAAGGATTTTTAGGAATAACATGTTCATATTTTGATCCTGAATTTCAACTTCACGAAATTGTACTTTCAGTTGAATATATTCCTTATCCTCATACTGCAGAAAATATTGGAGATTCATTACTTGTAGTATTCGATGAGTGAAAACTTCGAGATAAAGTTTTTATATAATAACAACGGACAACGGATCTAATATGCAAAAGGCTATCAAAGATATGGAATCAGTAACAAATAACATTTTATGGCAGCCCTGCAGTGCACACACTTTGCAGCTTGTAGTAGGAAAAGGCTTAAATCCTATTCAGGTATTAATTGGACGTGCAAAACGTCTCATCGATTTTTTTTTAAGACTAAAGCAATCAGAATGCCTTGAAAAAATCCAAAGATGATTTATGCAGCCAGTAAATAAACAGGTTATTGTTTATTAATTTTATTGTGCATTTATTCATATTCTGTTATAAAGTTTATTTAATTTTAAATTTAATATTAGGATTCAGGACAATCTTCGAGACCACCTATAGTAAGTTTTATTTTTAATTATATTTATTAATAAATTTTTATGAAATGTATTTATTTTACTTTTATAGGATGCTGGAAAAACTACAACATATTTAAAATACGTCATTGCTGATGTATCAACCCGCTGGAATCTCAGTTACTTGGCTTAGTGTCAGCTTCTAGAGTTAAAAGGATATATTCGTATATTAGAAGCTAATTTGACTGAGGAAACTGACAAAGATTCCAAAAAGGATTCTCAACAATTAACGAAAATTATGCTTACAAATGATGAATGGAACTTACTTCATGACCTAATTCTGATTTTGGGATTTTTTGAGGAAGCGACTAGGTATCTTAGAAGTAGTAATTATTTTACTCATAGTATAATGAAGCCTTTAATAGCTGAAATCATTAAAAAGCTCACCCCTAATCCTAATGAAGAAAATACAAATATTGATATCGAAACTTTGGAAGATGTTTTCATATTAGACGAAAATCAAGATAATCCAGCTGATGCTAATAATAATAAAAAACAGTGTCAGAAAAAAATAAATTTAGATGAACCTATGCAAACTTCAGGAATGTTAAAAACAGTAAAAAGTATATTGTATCAAGCAATGCTTTTTTATTGGAAAGAAGATCGCGAAATATCATACTTACCATCAATACTTGATCCTCGAATTAAAAAGCTTGATTTTGCACCTTATGAAATGGAATGGACTCTTTATTCTTTAAAAGATAAATATGATGACATGAAATTTAATATGTCATTACATTCACCTTCACAATCTCTCCAATCTCCTACACCTTCTGCTCCTTCTGCTCCTTTTATTACTACTCCAACACCATCTACACTTTACCAGTCAACACTCTTTGATATTTTTAAATGCTAACAACTTGTTAGCCAAAATGAACTTGACAAATACCTTGCTATTTCACAAGTACCATTTAATACTGATCTGTTTTCCTGGTGGAGAATTAACAAGGAAAGGTTTCTAATATTGAGTGAACTAGCATGCGCTTACCTTTCAGTATGTGCCACTTCAACTCCTAGTGAATGGTTGTTTTCAGATTGTGGAAATTTAATGGGTCCTAAAAGAACACGTATTAGTTCAGAGTTTTTTAAAAGAATGATGTTTTTAAAAAAGAATTATAATATTTTGGATAGTATACACAAACCACCTGAAAATCGAGTAATTAATATTGTGTAAATATGTATAGCAAATAATGTAATAGCTAATATAAATTTCATAATAATAGTAATAGTAATAAAACTAAAACATTAAAAAAATAGAACGTAAAAAAAAAATTTTATTTAAGTGTGACAAAAAAGATGCTTTGTACTATAGTAATCTGGTCAAAATCCGTTCAAATCTATGCAAATCCAGAAATTACAGATTATTTGTTTATAATCTGGATGATCCATATAATTATACGGATGGATTTTTTTTTTTGAACGGATAAGGATCCACATATAGATTCAATTTTTTTAACCAAATGCAATCCAGATTATCCGGACTTGACAGGATCACACCTTTACTTTATGACTCTTTAGATTCTTTTACGTAAAGTTTCCAATATTATTCCAGAAAGATACTTTATTATATCCTGGAATAATTGTTTTCTTGCTGTCTGATCTAAAACATTATCTCTAGCAATAATTTCTTGAACACCTTTTTCAAACTTTTTCCCATATGAATAGTAACATAAAACTCTTTTTGTTTCGCCTGTGTAATGTTCTTTTCTTCAATACTTACTTCTAGAAATAGATAAGCAAGCTCAACTTCTATTGTCATGTCAGTTATAAGCTCTTAATTTTCATCAATAATTTGGATATCATCTTTATCTATCAACTCTGAAGACACTTTTTATATAAAATTTTGGGCTATTATATAATCATGGGATTTTGTTTTTTTGGGTAGTACTTGAAATGATACTTTTGGTATTGTTTCTCCTGATGGTTGCGAACTGTTTATATTATTTTCAGTTTCAGTAAAATCATTGAGATCTTCAAAGAGTATAGAGAAAGTATCTTGAGAAATTGAATGCTCGTCCTGATCTTAGCATGAGAGCGCTGACTCACATAAAAGTTTCTTCTCCTTATTTTTCTGTCTCATCAGATTACTAACCTTTTTCTTACTCACTGAGATTAAGAATTCATCAGTCTTCTTATCCTCTAACAATTTATTAGATGTATTAAGCTGTGTTGCAATGTCAATAACAACTCGCTCCTGCTTGATTTTTCTGATATCTCAATTGAGTTCTGCAATGAGTTTAGCCTTTTCTTTATCACTCTGCTCTAATTTTGCAAATCTGGCCTCATTTTCTTCTATAGCCTGCCTTAATTTAGCATTTTCAGCTTTAACCTTAGCATTCTCAGCCTTAATATCAGCATTTTCAGCTAGAAGCTCAACGACGCATTATTTCAATGAATCAAGTTCAGATTGCATATTCAATAACACTTTTCATGTAGAATGCAATTTATTTAAAATGCATTTTACCCAAGTGGAACTTTAAGTCTCACTTTTTTTATTCACCATACGTCTCCATATCCTATGAAAAATATATTTGATACAATGTATAGTATTTTCAGCTCGAATTCTTTATTGATACAGAAAATAAATTACATGATTTGATGATACATAGACTTGTTTACAAAGTAAAATGGCGGTCTTATACTAATGCCCATCTAAACTATCTGTACTAACATAATATTTTAACATTAACTCTAATCTGATTTCATTTATCCCAACATTGATGTTCTGGATAGAATAAAATGGTTGTTAGTTATATGTAAAACATGTAGAATTAGAAATAAATTAACAGTATTGACCTTAGTAAAACTCACTAAAAGTTTACATTCTCTATTTAATAAGGTCCTGAACAAAAAATAGATATTAGCTTTGCAAGCTTTGAAGTGACTTTCTTGCAAATGCACAGTCATAGCTGAAATATTTATACCTGAATTGCGTAATGTCTTTGTTTAGAACATTAGCTTCACTGATAACTGATTAACACTCTTATGTGACATTGTGATATGTGGCTTAGATAATTTTTTTCATAATTTTGTATTAAACATTAGGCCTGATAGATCAGTAAATTCTATTAGTTAATGCAATCTGATCAGACGTGAACTACCAATACTGTTGATCACTCAAAAATTCTAAATAGGTTTAAATTACTACAAAATTCACTAAGTTCGCTAGCTTACAGTTCGTAGTAATTAGTTAACAACCATTTATGAAAACACATATATATATGAAATATATTCAAAATGTTAAGCTATTCTTCGCTATCTTGAGTACTTTCGCCATTCTGGATACAAACTAAAATTGAGGAAAATTCTATACCTGCTAGATCTAACGTTATACCTATAAGGTCTTTTAATTGTGTTATACTGAAAAATTACTTTTTTAACCCTCATTTTTAACTCTCGATTTTTATGATTACAAATATACCATGACATATTATCTCATTCTAGGTGAAATTCCCGCTAAAAAGAAACTTGATTTTGTTAAGTTCAATTTCTTAGAACGTGTCATGATACTCAGAAATGCTATTTATGATAAGAAGAAGAATACCTTTTTCAGTAAAAGTATTGACAAAAATAACCTCATATTATAGAAAGTCAATATTCCTTTCGATAGTGAAAATGATAAGTTGACGATGCTTGATGAAAAGTTTGATACAATTAACATTGAACAAGATCTTGAAGGAAAAGAAATGTTATCAGGAGATGAAATTTCAAAATATTTAAAAAACTTTGATAAATTATCATTCTTAATTCACATAATCATATAACTGCCAAAGCCTGCCATCACTGGTAAGTGTCTTTCAATGGTTTGCCTTTCAAATAAAAAATTCACGTTATCTCACATCTTATATATTTTTTTATTCAATTAGGGAAAAGAAAAATAGTGAAAGACGAGGAAGATGAAGTCTAAACAAAAAAGGAAAGACTACAGCTATTGCAAGAAGATATTTTTCTTTTAATGTTGGACTTTAAAGAATAATAGAAATATTAATGTCTTAACTCTAATTATACCTTTTCCAGATAAGCAGAAGATTCGATATCTTATTAAGAACTTACAAAGTATCAACACAAATGATAGGAAGTTCACAGTGCTAGCATTATCAGGAAGTGATAAAAGTACAGTTGTCTATAAACGAAAGTGTTATGACTATTTGCTTAACTTTATACTTCATAATGAATTATTGAGACGATACTGTATCACTGGTAACCCAGGCATTGGGAAGACATATTTTGAAATATTATTATTAGTTACACTTCTTAAAAATAAGATGTCAATTCTGATAGATAATCAAGATTACATGGCATATATTACTCCTGATAGTAATCTAATTCTGGTAAATGATAAAGAGTACAGACTATATGCAGAACGTTTAGATACTTAGTGTATAATTAACAGAGTGGAACTCAAAGTAAACCATGATTTTTCTGGATCAAAGCTAATAATGGTATCTTTACCAAAGAAGCAAATCGTTGAGAAATTTACCAAAACACAAAGGAGCAAAATCTTTTACATGTCATCTTGGGAAATTGGCAAGCTTTATGATTGTTAAGAACAAATATATGATCAAACAATTACTCAAGATTCAATTAAGGAAAAGTTTGATTTATGTGAAGGTATTGCGAGATAGATTTTTGATATTGTGATGACACCAGATAAAATTAAATTAAAAATCGAAGGCGCAATTTCGTTAATAGACTTAAAAAGTTTACTTAAAGCTCAAGGCGAGTATTTCTTAGATGATGGTTTCTCTCATAAATTAATTCACATAAAAACAAATGAAGATCTGAATGATAGTCTATACACTAAAGCAATCTGCATCTTTGCATCTAATTTCATGGAAAATAAATGCTTAGAGAAATTTCAAAAAGATCACACTGATGATCTATGCAGTTTTATTAAGAACTTAAGAGACATTTCAGAGATTGCAGTTCTTCATGGAAAGTTGTTTGAAATGTGGTCACATGCAAAGATCTGTAAAGAGAAGACATTTCAAGTATGTTAATTTGAAGAAAATAGTAACGAAAAAACCGTAACATTTAAAAAGTTAATAAGAGGATTTTAGCAATATCAAAGATATTAACATTAGAGAAGGAATTTATTATCAGCCAGTTACTAAAAATTATCAAAGTATAGATAGTTACATTCATCCTAATCAGCTATTACAAATCACTATTGCCGACAGACATAGGGTTAAGTAAGAAAAGTTAAAGAAATATAAGGATAAGAATATCTTAAATCAAGAGGAAATTCACTTAGAACTATTTAGATACAGTCCCCGCTAAAAGTAATGGCGGTCAATTTTTATAACTTAAACCATGCGATTTATTAATAAACCCAATTAAAATTTTTTTAAATAA